TAAGCAAAGATCTAATCATGCACTCATTAATTATTCAAGAAGTATTTACAACCTTAGATAATAAAATCTTAGGAAGACCACTAGCAATTAACATAGTTCTTGTTATTTCTTCTAAAGTCATATTTTTCTTTTAATAATACCATTTTGTTGGAGAAAGAGTCCTAGGTGAAGAAAAGTTATGATCTATGCCATGATTCAAATAATATTCAAGAAATTTAGCATTTTCATATTCAGTACCATAATCAGACCTGATGCTAGCCTATTGACTATTCATTTGCAGTTTCAAATGCATCAAACACATCATAAGTTTTATCATTAGAAGCAAGAAACGAGGTCCATATAAACCCAAAATAGTCATCAACAATCACAAATATATATATCTCTTTCCACCTCTTCTTTGAACCCTCATTGGACCATATAAATCCATATGCAATAGCTCCAAGGATCTAGAAGTAGTTACCACTTTCTTCGATTTGAAGGAGGACTTAACGTATTAACCTTTTTCACATACATCATAAACTTTATCTTCCTTGAACCTGGATTGTGGCAATCAATTCTCCCCGGCCCCTCCTAAGTTACTTTGGTCAGAAAAGGGAATAGGGCAATAAATAGAGCTTCGGCTCAGAATTAGACCTTCTGTAGACAGAACTTCAGAATGGCGAAGAGAGGCGGCTCGGCGGGGAAGGAATGGAAAATTGTCAAGGATGACATTTCTTCTGGAACAATCACAAATACTTTTTTGATTATGTATATACTACCAGAAATTCAATGCGTAATCTCAGCATTCAATATTTCTTGTTCGGTCTTTCAATAAGTAGTCAGCTGCTGGCGTAGTCAAACTTAACATAAGCAGTGACCTTAATAACCGAGAGTCTTCTAAAACTCTCTGCCTCCAACGACAACAAAAAGTTGTCGTCGTATGTGGGCTTTTCAGAGTGTTTTATTTGTAAGCATAGTCACGGTTTTTTCAATCCACCTATCTATTCAACAAATAAATAGCAATTCTTTTTATCAATATGTATGGTCTTGGATCATCAATAATGATTTTTCTTTAGTTTTCGGATACTTGATCGACCCACTTAGTTCTATTATGTCAATAGTCCTTTGTGACCAACTTGTTTAGTAGTGAAAATCTTTCATGTCCTATCTGCTTATGCCATAGCAAAGAATCATCATCAAGAACAATAAGACATGTTAGTTCATTACCTGGAAGAGACATAATATTAGTGTTATGATCCGACCAATTATTTTTCTTTCTAGAACCCTGTTCCCCTATTTAAGACTTTCCGTATGTGCTTTTTCTATTTTATGACTTGCAGGGGCAGTTGGTTTGATTTTGGAAGGGTTCGAGTTGAATTCGAAATAATTAGTTGTATAAAAGTAGCCTAAGATGGCCAAGTTTGAATTAAGTTAACACTTTGAGTAAACGACCTTGGAGTTGGGATTTGGAGGTTCGTTTAGGTTTATATGGTGATTCTGGACTTGTCGTATGTTCGAATCGAGTTTTGGGTGGATCGGGAGCGTTTCAGCGCTTATTGTTGGAAATTCACAATTTTAAGGTTTTAGAGTTTTGTAAGTTTGACTTGGGGTAGACTTTGGTATTATTGGACCCAATTTGGCATTCCGAGCCCGACAGTATGTTCGTTTTTGTCATATTGGACTTATGTGTAAAATTTTGTATCATTCCAAGTTGTCTAAGTATGATTCGTCGCGTTCAGAGTTAATTGTTAGAAGATAGAAGCTTGGAAGATGGATATCATTGGTTTGGAGTGCGACTTTTGGTCGTGATATTATTTTGATTGTTGATCTTGAGTAGTTCTGGATTATGTTTATAGACTTCTTGGTATAATTGGATAGGGTCCCGGGTGGCTCGGGTAAGTTTTGGACCACTTGGAGCAATGTTAAAGTTGGCATAGTTTGCTGGTGCTGGTGTACTTCGCGATCGCGAAAAAGGAATTGGAGGGGGGTAGTGGTTGCTCTTCTCAAACGCGAATAAGCCCCGCAAATGTGATAAAGGACCTGACTCCTCTTCACAAACGTGGAGGATCCTACACGAATGAGGAAGAGGGAAGAATGGGTAGGCAGGAGTTGGCCTTCGTGAATACGGCTGTGGGTCCGCGAACACGAAGGATTAGCGGAGGGAGTTCTTCACGAATGGAACGGGGGGATCGCGAATAGGAAGAATGAAACCTGGGGAGGGGGGGAGGGGAGAGCATTGGCCTTNCGCGAGGGTTCTTCCATAATTGTGATGAAGGACGCCTGGGCAGATTGTAAGTTTTAATACGGGACTTAGGCTCATTTCACCCTTTGTTTCTATTGGCTTGGGCGATTTGGGAGCTATTTGAAGGATCATTTTCATCAAGTATCATTAGGTAATTGATTTCTACCTATTGTGAGTTAAATATTTATATTATGTGAGGATTTTAACATAAAGTTTAGTAGAATTTTGGCGTTTTGTTTAGAAAACCTAGAATTGATAAAAATGAGATTTAACCACAAAAGTAGTTATAGAATTAGATATAAATTATATCATTGAGCTCGTGACGCCATGGATAATATTTATCTTTAAAAATATCCGAAATTCGGGCGCGTGGGCTCGAGTTTAACTTTTGTTGACTTTCCGAGTGGGGTTGGAAATTGATCCTAATAGTTAAGTTATGAGTTCTTTAGCATATATTGATTGGTTTGTACGTCCTTTTGACTAGTTTCGAGTTGCTTGGCATTCATTTGAGGTGTTAGTGAGGTGTGGGAGCCGAGTAGTGGACTTGGAAGTAAGGTAAGTCTCTTGCCTAATCTTGTAAAAGGTAAGTCTCTTGCCTAATCTTGTAAGAGCGAATTATCCAGTAGGTATTTTATTTGTTGCGTGCTACGTTTTATGGGTGCTACGTACATATTAGGTGACGTGCGTCCGTGCGTAAGCTAGATTTATGTTTATGTCCGAGTAGAGTTGACCTACACCATGCCTTAACTTTACTACTTAAATTGAACTTGCCTATTTGATTACTTGAATTTATAATTGAGATTGAGATTAGAATTTATGTATAGACCGAGCCTCATTACTTTGAGTTTTGGCGGAATATTTGATTGTCGGTAATAATTATGGTTTCTCTTGCATTCCTATCCTCGTGTTGTGTTTATGTGATCGGTAGTTCCGTGTCTTCTTGACTCGCACATATCTTCGCAAGTGGAAAAGTTTCTCTATTCCTATGGAATCAGGTCGTTCACACCCATGGTATTCACACCATAAATTGGGATTCCTCTGGCTGGGATCAGATCCCATAGGTCTCGGGAATCGTGCCTCTTTGAAATTTCTCATGGCTGACACCAACTCCACTACATTGACGTTGAAGTTATACTCCGACAACTTTGGGTAAGAAAAATCTCGCGACCCCGAGATTTATCTATCCTGTAGCGATTTTTTGTTCCTGCCACGATCGGTCCTTCTATCAACGGTAAACTTGTTTGTTGTCCAGAAGCTCCTGCCACGACCTTCTATCCGCTCATAGAGTGAAAACCATCCCTTCGAAGTCCGTCTATCCGTGTCAATATCATCTTTCATTTTTTCTCTGTTCTTCTCTTTTCCTTTGGTCGACAATGGAAAGCCAACCTGATCGTCTTCGATCCTTATTTTCGACTCATACCGGTTGTGGACATCCGCCCAAGTCGTCGCTTCAAACTCGAGCAGACTTTCCTTCAACTTCTAGGAAGCGTTCGAACTTCTCGGATTTAAACCTTTGGTGAACGCTTCAGTCGCCCATTCATCCGGGACTGCTGGTAGTAACATCCTTTCCTTCTAGAACCGGGTAACAAACTCTCGTAATAATTCAGATTCTCCTTGTGCGATCCTGAATATGTCGGCCTTTCGGGCTTGTACCTTTCTGGCACCGGCATGAGCTTTGATAAAAGAATCCGCGAGCTTCTCAAAGGAATCTATGGAATGCTTGGGTAATAATGAAAACCACGTTAAAGCTCCCCTCATGAGAGTCTCACAAAATTGTTTCAGTAACACGGACTCAATTTCTTGATGAGCCAAATCATTTCCTTTCATTGTTGTTGTGAAGGTGGTAATGTGCTCCTGTGGATCTGAAGTTCTGTCTTACTTCGGCACTTCGGGCATTTTGAACCGCTTCGGGATTAATTTCAGGGCCGCACTCGGTTTGTACGGTAATTGAATATACTTCTTCGAGTTCGGGCCTTTCAATACTGGTGGCGCGCCCGGAATTTGATCCATGCGGGCGTTTACTTCCTTCATGAACTGCAAAAGTTCCTCCTTGAACGGATCGTTACCGTTGTTGAGGCCGGATCTACTCCCCCCGGCCCCGCCGGAGCCAACTTCATCCCTAGAAGTGTTGTTGTCAACTCTCTGCGTTGTTTGATTTGCGAAAACATCGGGAGGAATTGGATCTCGCTTGTTTGCATTATTTGAAGCACTTGATAGCGCCTGCTTTAGTTCCGTCATAACCTGATCCTGCCGCGTGAGATGGTTTAGAATGATTGCTTGTTGCTCTTGGAGGACCCTCACTGCATCCGCTACATGCTCCTCATCAGCATCATCAGGAGTCGTCTCCCGAACCTATCGAGGGTACCACCCGTCATGCACTGGTGTGGCGTCATTCCCCTCATTGCGAGTGTCACTGATTGAATCCTCGAAATGAGGTTGTTCCCCTTGAATTTCAGGGTTGCGTGTGCCATTAACAGTGTTTTCTTCCATTTTTTGTGATTTTTTGCTAAGACAAAGTAATCAAAATATGTTAGTAAAAAAGGCAAGGATCAATTTAATCGCACGACTGTCTAGGCCCCACGGTGGGCGCCAAACTATTTACCCGTAAAACGGTATACTTAAATTTATTTGTGGTTTCTAGACAAGTGAATTAATTTGATCCAAAAGATAATGAAATAGCTGATGAAATATAAAATACTTAGCCTTAGAATGTAGATGGAACGACAGAGCTGATGAGTCCGGGAACAAGATTTCTGGGGACAACAATGATGAGATCAAATGCGAGAAAATAAAATTGTATTAAAATGATGTATCGAATGTAGTGTAAGTTAGCGAGAAAATTTGTGTCCTTTACAATGATCATTGAGCTTATTATTTATAGCTATGAAGAAGGTACTGGGGTCGTGCCCTTTTTTAATGTCAATTATGAGGAGCATTGATAAAGGCGTAACGGTGAACATAAATGCCAAATTCTCTGTAACGGGCCGTTACTTTTTAATGCTGTGAAATATTCCTCATTGAATGCTACCGCGCGTAGAGTATTCAATGCCTTCACGAACGTTGTCTTTTCCGGTGACACACGGGATATCTGCGTCCGGTTTTCCGTCCTCCCGGCTTAGGTTCCACGTGTCCCCTTTTTGGGTGGCCATGTACCATAACATATTTTACCTAATACATTATGCATCAAGATTTAATCAATATTGATCCGATCCTGCAAAAATACTGCCATACCCACGGTGGATCCTCCAAAATACATCACTCCAACTCCAACATGCACCCAGCTGTATTTTTTATGGATTCGAGTAACATAGGATTTAGTTACTCCATCCTATTTCATGTTGCAAACTTTTCAGTTCGCAGACATCTTACAACATCTTAGTTCATATAAACACAACATTTTTCAAGTATTTCATTTCGTTCAGTAATCAAATAAATTTTGTAGAGGACTGGAAGAACTAAATGGAAGTATTGTCCCACTACTTCACAATACACTGCAGGTGCTCTTTATGTCACTACTCCCTCTAATGAAGAGAAACAAACTCGATCTTTTTCCATCTAGAATATTTTTACATCAATAAATTAATACTTTCGATGAAGACATCAATTTTTTTTATAAGGCTCTGATGAAGACATCAATAAATATTAGTAATTCTTATAGTCCTGTAAAAGATAGCTTCAAATGGCAGAATTGATAGCATTCATTCAATAGATAGGACACTTACTGAATTGTAAAGGTTCTTCCTGAGTCGAGAACCCGATGATGAGAAAGACACCATGTTCGGGTTGGAAACATCCACCGCCTTTTCCTTTCACTTCAGCACTAAGGTCTCAATTTAAGTCAATTCTAGGTGCATTTAGTCTCGTCATAGATCCATTATAATTTGTGGTTGTTAATGTTTGGCTATAATTATATATTTTTAGTGCATTACTTACCTTATATTTTGGGACTTAATGCTAAACTATACTATATTTGTGCTTAATTGAGTCTATTTTATGTTGAGATACGTTGAAGACGAAATTGGGAACAAAATAGAGATTTTATGTGTATTTTATACACTACAAGAATGGACCATGATCATTTATCGATTAGAAGTATTATAATGCTATATGGAACAATGATTGAAGAGACAAAAGGAAACAATGCAAGGGAATTTGAAAAAAGAAATAGAAACGAGAATGAGAAATGAGTTTGAAATGTTAGGCAGCAAAAAAATTGAATTAAAGCTAAGCAGTTGGGCACAGAATTGAGTTCTTAACATTTGATTTGATGTTAGGCAGCAAGAAGTCGAACTCAATTCAGGGTAACGCGAGCAATATAGCTCGCTATAGAGCATGCGACGCGAGCAATTTAGACCGCGATGGAGCGGGCGTCGCGAGGGTTATCGCGAGACCAAGCGCGCTATAGAGGTTGCGAGGCACGCTCTACAGCGAGCGTGTTCCGGATTTTTAAAGCCTATTTTGTCTTCTATTTGGTTTTGGACTTGGTTATTTCGTTTGGGTCTCTTGCCTACACATATAAATAGTCATTAAATACTATTTTAAGGGAATTTTTGCGACCGGAGGCCAGAACATCACGTGGAACAACTTTTGGAGGAGAAAATCATCGAGTTCTTCATTTCTTTATATTTTCTTTGTAATTTTTTATAAAAAATACTTGGAAAATTATTACTACGAACATGAGTGGCTAAGCACTCTAGTTCTAGGGTTGTGGTTGACATGATTATTAACGTTTATTAATTATATCTTCGTTAATTCGGATTATCATCTTGTGGTTGTTTCTTTAATTCTAATTTTAACTTATGAATTATTGTAACTACCAATTCACCCTACTATCTATGCTATGCTTGGGAAAGTCGTGTTTAGATTAGAGTCGAATTAGAGAGAGCTTGTTTCTGAACCCGTGGCTCGGAAAATAATTTTGCGGTTAGGATAGGAATATACTTAATAGTCTTGCTTAATTGAATACCGTATTATATTCATTCATGATAGACTCAATACCATAGGAATATAAGATTGATATATTGTGGGCAGGCGAGTAGTATTGTAGGAATATACTATTTATATAAATGATCGGGTTAATTAGCAACCATAGATAATCTGGATTAACGAGTGTGATTATTGAACTTAATAGGATTGATAAACCAACCACAACCCTGGAATTTTCATCTCCTCTGAAATAAAATATCATCATACGCATTTTCATTCTTGATAAATTAGTTGTTACTTGTTTAATTTCCTCAATAGTAGATTAATAGAAAAACGTCACTCTTAAATAGCTTGGACAATTAATTAATTTTAGTTTGCGTAGTTAACGATCAATCTAAGTCTTTGTGGGTTCGACATCGGACTTTCGAGTCACTTTATTACTTGACGACCATGTATACCTGCATGTACTTGGAAAACCAACAAGTTTTTTGCGCCGTTGTCGGGGACTTAGTTATTGATTGTTTAGTTAAGTTAAGCTTTTATTCGTTATTTGTTCAAGTTTTAATTTTTAGTTTGCTTTATTTGTGATAATGCAGGCTCTTCTCTTGAATGCGGAGGAGTAGAAGCGCAAACAATCTCCTTCCTCTTGATCCTGAAATCGAACGAATACTTCATAAAGTGAGAAGAGAAGTTGAAGCTAGAACTAGAATTGAAAGAGAGTTGGACATCGTAGTTCAACCACGACCAATAGAGATGGCAGGTAATGAACAGCGTCCAATGATAGAGGATGCAAGGCCCAATTTGGCTCTTATGACTCATGCGATTGTGAAGCCTGATATCACGGGTCACTTTGAACTCAAATAATACATGGTACATCTGATTCAATCCACAGGGTAATATGTTGGCGTATCTCATGAAGACCTGCAGAGGCACATTCAGAACTTCCTGGAAATTACATACACTTACAATTATTCGAACGTTTTCAAGGATTATGTCAGGCTGACATTGTTTCCCTTTTCACTGATGGGGGAAGCTAAGGAATGGTTACAAAAGGAGCCCGCGAACTCAATCCACAATTGGGATGAACTAGCAAGGAAATTCTTAATCAAATTTTTTCCCACAAAGAAGACAAAGTCACTGAGGAGCCAGATTCTTGGGTTTTAACAACGAGATGATGAGACTCTTCGACAAGCTTGGGAGAGATACAAGAAGCTACTCATAAACTGACAACACCATTGTCAAACTAATGAGGTGTTGGGTCACACTTTCGTTGATGGGTTGGACGAGGCATCAAAGATGAATCTTGACTCAGCATGTGGGGGCAGTTGCATGGCAAGGCCGTATAGTGAGATCCAGATCCTGCTAAACAATTTAACTGCTAATGATAATAATTGGCAAGGAGATGGGGAACCACGAAGAGCACTTAAACAAAAGGCAGCAGGTATGATCGAGCTTGATGATTTCTCAGCAATGAGGGCAGATATAGCGAAATTAGCGAATCAGATGAATAAAATGACAATGCACCATGCACAACAGATGCAATATGTGAAATAGATGTCTACTTGCTGGGACTTATGTGGTGAAGGTCACATAAGTGACATATGCCCCGTGAATCCTGAATTAATTTACTACGTGGGGCAATAAGCTAGAGGGCCGATGAATCAACATGCGCAATATGGTAACACATACAATCCGAACTGGAGGAATCATCCTAACTTCTCTTGGGGTGGAAATCAGAATATTAGACCTCAAGCGAATTACAATTATCCACCTCAACCTCCACAGCAAGCAGAAGAGAGTTTGACTGACATGATGAAAAAGCTCTTGATAGATAATCAACAATTGCGCACAGAGTTCAGAAATCTAGAAAGACAGTTTGGGCAAATGGCTAACAATTAAAATACTAGACCTACTAGAGCTCTCCCGAGTGATACTGAGCCTAATCCTAAGGCTCAAGTCAATGCGGTTACCTTGAGAAATGGAAGAGAATTAGAAGAGGTTCCAGAGAAAAAGAAGTATACAGCTAGACCTGAAGGAGAATTAGTTCCTAAGCCCGTTAAGGAGAATAAGAAAGAAAAGCCAATATTTGTGACAAGGCCACCACCTCCGTTTCCATAAAGACTGCAAAAGCAAAAAGATGATGCTATGTACAAAAAGTTCTTAGATATTTTGAGCCAAGTGCGTGTGAAATTGCCTTTGGTGGAAATTTTGCAGGAAGTGCCTAAGTATGCAAAGTATCTCAGAGATATTGTGGCAAACAAGCGAAGACATACAGAGTTTGAAACAGTTGCACTTACTGAAGAGTGCAGTGCTAGAGTTCAGAGTACACTTCCTCCTAAGTTAAAGGATCCTGGGTGTTTCACAATTCCTCTGTCTCTTGGAAAACAAGAAGTTGGTAGAGCCCTGTGTGATTTAGGGGCTAGTATAAATTTGATGCCATCCTTTTTGTTCAAGCAACTCAGATTAGGGGTGCTTAGACCTACTACAATCACTTTACAGTTAGCAGATAGGTCACTAGTTATGCCATAGGGAATTATTGAGGATGTGTTAGTTCGAGTGGGAAAGTTTATTCTTCCTGCTGATTTTATTGTTCTTGATTACGAGGCAGATGAGAAAGTACCCATTATTTTGGGGTGACCATTCTTAGCTACTGGTGGAGCATTTATTGATGTTAGGGAAGGGAAGTTGAAGATGAGAGTTGGCGATGAGGAAATCACTTTTAATATGTACAAGGCACTTAAGCTCCGTAAGCATTATGATGACTTGTGCATGATTAATGCGGTAGAACTGAAGGGGATAGAACAGAGTCCTTATGTGAATTGTAGTGATTCGGGTGGGACAACTGAGTTGGAGGAGGTGTGTTGCAAGCTGAGTGTGTAAAGATGATTGAGAAAAGATCCAGAGATGAAAGATGAGACCTTCTAAGAGCATGTAAAAAGGCTAGACTTAATGGGAGAAAGAAGACGAGAAAGCGCCCAGCCTGAGCAGAGTAACAGTGTTGTGCTGTGGCATTAAATTAGGCGCTTGTTGGAAGGCAACCCATCTTTACTGCTTTCATTTATTTTTATTTATTTTTGTTTATTTTCTTTTTCTATCTTCGCAGTGTTGTTTTTGTTTTGTAGGATTATGAGCATAGGAAGCAAAGCCATTGAAATAGTGCAAAAGCGAGTTAGATGGTGAGGACTAAGTGTGGGGTGCCACACAAAGGACCATATTTGGGGGAAGTCTGAGTACCCATGAGCTGCTATTGCTTCGGCCTTTGACCTTTCAGAGGGTTTCGTGTCCACCCTCATTATTGTTTTGCTTTATTTGTACATTGGGGACACTGCATTCTTTTAAGCGTGGGGTGGGAGAATTCTCTAGATAATTAGTAGTAGGATGTAGAAAAATGTTAACTTCTTATTTTTATTTTCGCAATTATGTAGTATTTTGGTAGCTAAAAAAAAGTAGAAAAATTAAACTTTTTCCGACAATGGGTCTACTAGACAGCTTTCTTGAGGGACTTAAGTCTAAAAAAAAGGACAAAAAGATTTTATTTGCAGGTAGTGTAATAATTCCCCCTTCATTTTTCTTTGTGCCGCGGTTCTTTTTCAAGGGTTTTGTTTGAACCGGGTATAGTTAGTTTTATTTTTTTAGGGTGGGAGCCATGGTGAGATGAATTGAATTGGAGCAATATCTCTTGACTTTGTTATGCCTTGAGAATAGTGAGTACTTTGGTTGTGACGCTTAGGCTCATTTTTTGACTCTTGTATAAGTACCTTAAATTGTATAATCTTAAATTGGCTTAACTGCTTTGACTAGAGTGTCTTGATGAGTCCAATACTGAGTGAGTTATATGCCATGTGTGTGTGAGGTTTGTGTATTATTCTGTGCATTGCATT